GTTTAAGCCGACAAGGTGTGTTGCCCGCCCTTGTCCCTCACCTATACGATCAGGATGCAACACGACAACACCTGCTACAACTGTGGAAAAAACGAAGGTCATCTCAGTTATGCCTGTCCACATCCCTGCCGTCACTGTGGTAAAGAGGACCATAAGAGTATGAACTGCTCTAACAAGACCCAGAAACGTCCGGCTCCCATCAACCATCCAAGTGAACCACCAAAGAAAGTGAGTAAACTTGAAAGCAAACATCTACTGGCTCTACTCAATGAAAGGGTCCTCCTCGTTCAAGACCGCATAGACACCATGCACTCTGTACTTCAACGTGTCTTGCACTTTGTTGAACCCATGGACGATTCCAGCAGTACTGCCTCCAGTGCACCACCATCACCACAATAGATACCTCGGTGATCTCACCCACCCATACCAACGGCCCCACGATGGTACCAGATGGCGGCGCCCACGGTGACCGGATATGCCGCCATCTTGAAAAAGACCCCAGGGAGACGTTGTTCACTACTCTCCCACCTCACCACGTCTAACTTCTACGTTATGCTTGGTTAGCAGTTTCGACACAGATCCCATGAATTCCCGGGCCTGGATCGACTTGTAATAAATCAGGCCATGTAAGCCGACTACGCTTGTATATTCGCTTAAACGCTTGTGCTACTTGATCCACGTCTTTCGTGGTTAATGGTTCAGCTTCCTTGTAGCGGCTGGCTACGTCTACAACTGTCAGGGGGTACTTATAGGTTTTACTTCTCAGCCTGTCGTGTGGAAGAAACAACAGGTCGGCCTGGTGAACTTGATTAGGTGTATGTATACCGAATTTTCTCCTCGGTATATATTTTGGTGCTGGTAAGTATATTTGCCATATAGCTTGTTTTTGTAACCAGGCTTTGGCTTTTTCTTCGAAACACGTGCGGCTTTAGATAATTTTGTAATAGCGTCTACCCCTTTCCAATATCCTCGCGGGCTGTAGTAAATTTTCTCCATTATATATATAAATTTAAAAAAATTTATGACCGTAAGCAAAGGTTTTGACACCATCTGAAGCTATCCATCGTTTTGTATCCATTGGTGATAGAGATGTCTTATTTATAGTCATCCCGTATATCTTGTGCCCGTCACTACGAAGTATGTTCATCTGGTGTGTGAACGTTTTCTTCTCGAACAGGGTCTGTTTGTAGAGGGTATGTTTAATATGACGTTTCACCTCGTTCTTTTTCACACCTTTAGCCTTTCTTATTTCAGCGTCGTCTGCTTTTTTGATAGAATACATCTTAGGTCTCAATCCGACGTATTCGGTGATTGGTGTGCCAGCACATTCATCCTTCATCTTACCTAACACCTTTTTGTTGACTTGGCCATTCATGGGGTGGTCTTTTGGGTAATCACTGGTATCGTATAGGTATATATTGTTTTTCATATCCTCGTACACGTCCTCCGTTTGAATTTCCATGAGTAATGAATCCGTATCCGTGTACAACACCTCACACCCTTCACCGTATTGTTTCTTGAGCTCGTTATAGTAGAAGTCATACATGAGATGTTTGGATAGGTCTAGAATGCTCATACGAACATAAACCGGTCGATTAAGTATAATGTGTCTCTTTTTCATATGTATTGCTGCCAAGTCATCATCGAATATAATACTTCTATTGTAAGCCGGGCTGGATATCAATTTCCTGAGTTTGTTTTCCTCACTCGACCGGACTAGCGTCGGTACAGTTGTACAGTTACAGTTGTAAATTGCGATAGTGAATGATGTACTTGGTTTTATTCATCAAGTTAGGTACGAGTTTTTCAACGTTTACCACCCGTCCTGTAGGACCCAGCAAATTTCGTTGGTAGTCAGACATCCATTCTATATTCACCTTCAAACGCTCTGGAGCCAGGGGATAACTGTTGTGTGAGGTGTGTAAATCCTCCAGATATTCTAAATCCACTTCGAATATATAACCCTTGTTCGAATCCGGTGCGAATTGCTCATAACATCATCGATCTCAGATGTCCACTCGAAACCACAGGTAGGTAGATACTGGCTCATGGCCCAGCCGTACAGGTTGTTTGCAAATAGATAGAGTAGATAGTTTGTAGGTTTTTTAGGGTTGTAGCCTTTCACATACTCGTTGTTAGCTTTGGCATAACGTTTTGATACCATGGAAATACCACCTCGTAACCCTTTCTCAATAAACAGATGCATATTGTAATCGGTGAATAATTCTTATTTCACACCGGTTTTCTTCAGTAGGGCATCCCACGAGAGCCCAGGACTTGAATAATACCATGCCGGGTCCAACCCGTATTGCTTCAAACACGTTTTTCTGAATATCTCGAAAACATCAGCCAGCAATAACACATCTGTTTTCAAATACAAATCGTGATAATCACCTAGATTCTGACACCCCAGTTTTGTTTTTTTCTCTCGGCATATCCATTCGTACGGCTGTCTCCCCTACACCTAGGCAATCAACCCTGTGCGAATCTAGCAGATCAGCCCTAGAAAACCCGTGAAGGCACCTTTCACAAAAGTGTTTCATTTCCCTGTGTTACGACTGATTGTACAACAGTCTGCTGAAAATTCTTTATCCATGTGTAGTGATATTTTTCACCTTGTTGGATCATAAATATATTGATCATTTTACGACAATCCTTATACAATAAAGGACTTATCCTGTGTACTATTACGTTTTTACCTTCGTGTCCGAAAACGTTTATGGCTAAGTCTGGATTCTGTTGTTCTATTTTTTGGATCTGAGAGATTGGGGTGGGTTCGTCTATACCTTCCCAATTGAGCCCGTCATCTTCTGGATAACTGGAAAGTCTATCGGAATGTTTTTCAACTGGAAATTTAGCAGATTTTATCGCTATCCTCATACAATTGTTGTCTCGGTTTTTAACGTTAACCATCGCTTGTTTTTTTCTTGAAATACTCAGACAGGGGTAAGTACGATCCACCTTTTTCAATGGTATATAGTTTGCTATATCCAGGTAGACCATATTAATCTCGTCAACAACCCAACCAGAACCCATATTAGTGTAACGATCTAGTGTTTCTCGCATTTTTTCTAATGATCTTTCTATAGAAGAGTTGATAGTGTCTGGTTGCGTTGTAACTTCTTGATTACCTCTGAAGTAAACATTGGTGTATTCAGTTGTTTCATTCGACTGTTGTTTCTCTAGTGTCATGTTTAACGTGAGTTGAAATTTAATACCTCTTAAATCTTTCAGTTCTTCGTTTACTTTGTCAAATACCAATGGTTTTATATCTTCAACGTCTATGTTTCTTTGAACTTCCATCTTCCAACCTCTCAAATATTTACCTACAGCATGCTCAGTAGGCGTGAATTGTAATTCTATAGGTTTTTGTTCTTTCAGTAATTCAATTTCACAGTAAGTGTTTTTTGATACTTAAAACCTAATAAATCTAGTAATTCATGTTTTCTCATACGAGAATAACCTCGAAGTCCACGGTCTCGTGCTTGCTTTTTCAATTCATGTACTGTCAACATATCATAAATTTACAAACAAAGTTTGTTGATACTATATGTGAAACAATTCTCTAAATAGACCAACATACTTCATGTTAAACATAAGATGATGTAATAGATATAGGATTGTGTAATCTAACCCGTAACATAAACCTTTCGTACATCGAGGGACTTGATGCCCTTTGCTTCATGAAATGTGACACTCTCATGGTTAGAAAAGACATAAACACAGTCTTCCTCGGGAGATAAAAACTTATATGTTTACAAATTAATAGGATACTTATTGATTCCATGCACCGTACCGCATAGTCTTCCTCTTTTGAGTAAGACTATAGCTACTTTTTACAGGTGAGGTGAAACAGTAGTTATGTTATGGAATAGATACTTATTGATTGCTTGCCTTATATAGGCAGACTTCTTAGGTTACTCAACATGCAATTGACAGTGGTTTATTAGAGTGAGTGAGTGAGTGAGTTTAGTTTTGCACCATTTGTATATAAAGAACTTCACAAAACAAACAAAGCAACAGTAACTGTTGTATACTATCTCGTATCACTCTTGAAGAGTGAGTGAGTTTATTTTACGCCGCACGCAGCAATGTTCCAGCTATATGGCGGCGGTCTGTAAATAATCGAGTCTGGGCCAGACAATTCAGTGATCAACAGCATGAGTATAGATCTGCGCAAATGGGAACCGATGACATGTGTCAACCATGCCAGCGTGCCTGACCACCCGATCCCGTTAGTCGCCGCTTACCATGCTTACTGAAGGTTCATTCTAACCCGGACCTTCACGGGTGGTTTATTAGAGATAAAGGTATATGGTTGAGGCCAATGTTTTAAATGTTTGCAAAACCCTGTGATTGTAGTCTACACTCATGCCCTATTATATCACCAGCCTGCAGATTGGATAAATATTCAATGGGGCGTCACCGTCCTCGACTCCCCTATCACTCAATGAACACATAGTTTCTATAGCTCAAGAACTTCATCAGACTGGACAATTACTTTAGATGGTGGAGATTGGGGCCAGGATAATTAGAAGATTACAGTTAGAATTTACATTTAGAGGTCTTAAATCAACGATAAAGGGCCGCAAATATTTTTAAAAAGCAGCTTTATTTTCTAATTATAAACTTCAAGGCAAAATAGTCCATGGTTGATGGTGGCAAAAGGTCAAACAACGGTATCACTGTAATGTTTTGACCTTTACAATGCAGTGTTTCGGCGGTAGTTTCTGGCCTAGTAACTAAACTGTTTTACCGGGCAGTTTACAATGTGCATATAACACACTCTATGGCCGAGACTTGTCTCGTCGTTTCTTGCAGGAAGCGGGGCGGTGGGGTAGCTTAGTGGTTGAAGCGTTCGTTCGTCGCGCCGGGGACCCGGGTTCTATTTCCCACATGGGTGCAATATGTGGAACCCATTTCTGGTGTCCCCCGCCGTGATATAGCTGGAGTATTGCTAAAAGCGGCGTAAAACTAAACTCACTCACTCACTCTTGCAGGAAGCCAGTTAACAATGGAGCCGACCAAGGACAGAATTGTTTACATCAGCAGGACGGACATATTCTGCGCCGGGCACAGGCTGTTTTCGTAAGTGTTAAATCGTCTGTTTACTTCACTGGGAATAGTACATAATGAAAGAAGGGCGTTAGTTTTACAGTCACGTCGTGTGTAAATAAATGTGACAAATGTGGTTGGATACGAATACGTTTAGTAATATCACCACGTGACTGTGAACACGGCCTCTACTAATGCCTTTACAGTCTTTACAACTTTTACCAACGATTTTGCCAATGATCACGTATGTCCCCCCCAACCCCCACCCCCCATTGTTTCTTTTGAAGTAGGCCTTTTTAACAGGCATTTGTAATTTGAATTATGGTTGTTCTTTACATGGTACATTTCGGCAACGAGAGTTGATCATTAGTCGTATGTCCCGCATCACACTCTCAACACACACCGTGACCTTGGTAATCCGGATCCTGTAAATCCTGAAAGTCGGAGTAATACTGGACACGCTCTCTCATACTCACACAACCTAAGATTCGTTCATCTCGACTCTTCTATCCCAGGGAACTATACTGTCTGCATCACTATTCATCAAAGGATTCAAATCATTATTGTAGCAAACATTTCTTCCACAGTAAAGACCTCACAGAGGAGGAAAATGTAAAAATATTTGGAAAATGCAGCTCAGTAAACGGCCATGGACACAACTACAAAGGTAAGATAAATATAATGTCGTCATGACATGAATTGTCAAATGAAAACAAAATGACAAACCACAAACATGTAACAGCAAAAAAACCGTGTTCTGGAGGTTATATAAAGAACTGATGTTCTCGGACACAGTGTTTGATAGCACAAATGCAACCACTTCGCGGAAAAGTGTTTGTCATGCTGCTTTAGATTCGCTGCTGAGTTGGACTGCGCATGATTAACAGAAAATAGTTTTAGGCGCTAGTGACAGGTTGTTGATGGGTAGCTCTCTCCAAGTGATAAACATTCAACTACAATTGTGTAGATCAAATAGAAATAGTTGAGAGAATTATCCGCTGACACTGAACATTTAAAAGATAAACAGCTTCTTCATTATAAGTTTTAAGCTATTTATTAGTGTATTTTACATTTCTCAATATGTTAAAAGGGGATTTGACGTTTAGTTGGTTATAAGGGGATTTGACGTTTAGTTGGTTATAAGGGGATTTGACGTTTAGTTGGTTATAAGGGGATTTGACGTTTACGTTTAGCTGGTTATATGTTATAAGGGATTTGACGTTTAGTTGGTTATAAGGGGATTTGACGTTTAGTTGGTTATAAGGGGATTTGACGTTTAGTGGATTGAAGGTTAGTGAAAATGTATGTAAATTAGTTTAGTTTCCACTATGAACCATAGGTAGCCTATTTCAATTTCCACTGCGTTACAACTAGCGTTTCATGTAACGTGGCTGTAACATGATAATCACGAGCTTGGTGATGATGTCTTGTGAAACACGCTTTATTGGGATCTTTTGGTGATTGCTTTGTGGGCCCTGATTGTGACAAATTATATTGTTATATTTCATATGGATGTAAGCATAATTTTGGTGTTTAATTTGGCATCAGTAATGTTTCCTCCATACAACGACGACATTGCGTTTACAATGCGTGTTTACGTGTTTACAAATGGTTGTTTATGAGTTGCGTGATATCATTGTTCACGGCTCTTCATTTTTCTTGTCTGCAGTTCGTGTGACGCTGCGCGGGCCAGTGAGTAGACAGCTTTCCTTGTTGTTGAACTGCGTAGGACGTCATATTGAATCTTGCATATGTACAATAATTCATCCCCACCATTTTGAACAGTACCTGTACCTAACTCGATCCCTGAATCGGTAGAAGATTTTCACCGCCATATGCAACATCGACGTCTTCAGTGTCCACATCTTCTCGTCTTTAATGTCCGTGTCTACAATCTTCAATATCCATGTCCCCAAGTCTTCAATATCCATGTCTCAAGTCTTCAATATCCATGTCCCCAAGTCTTCAATGTCCATGTCCCCAAGTCTTCAATGTCCATGTTCGTCACGATATGGCTGAAATATTGCCGATGTGACGTTAAATAATAACTCACTCATTCACTCACTCAATGTCCATGTCCTCAAGTCTCCAGTGACCATGTCCTCAAGTCTCCAATGTCCATGTCCTCAAGTCTCCAGTGACCATGTCCTCAAGTCTTCAATGTCCATGTCCTCAAGTCTTCAATATCCATATCCTCAAGTATTCAATATCCATATCCTCAAGTCGTCAATGTCCATATCCTCAAGTCTTCAATGTCCATATCCTCAAGTCTTCAAAATTCATATCCCCAAGACTTCAATGACCATGTCCTCAAGTATCCAATGTCCATGTCCTCAAGTCTTCAATGTCCATGTCTCAAGTCTTCAATATCCATATCCTCAAGTCTTCAATATCCATATCCCCAAGACTTCAATATCCATGTCCTCAAGTCTTCAATGTCCATATCCTCAAGTCTTCAATATCCATATCCTCAAGTATTCAATGTCCATGTCCTCAAGTCTTCAATGTCCATATCCCCAAGCTTTCAATGTCCATGTCCTCAAGTATCCAATGTTCATGTCCTCAAATCTTCAATGTCCATGTCTTTAAGTCTTCAATGTCCATTTCATCAAGTCTTCAATGTCAATATCCTCAATTCTTCAATATCCATACCCCCAAGACTTCAATGTCCATGTATTAAAGTCTCCAGTGTCAATATCCTCAAGTCTTCAATGTCCATATCCCCAAGTCTTCAATATCCATATCCTCAAGTCTTCAATATCCATATCCCTCAGTCTTCAATATCCATGTCCTCAAGTCTTCAATGTCCATGTCCTCAAGTCTTCAATATTCATATCCTCAAGTCTTCAATATCCATGTCCTCAAGTGTTCAATGTCCATGTCCTCAAGTCTTCAATATCCATATCCTCAAGTCTTCAATGTCCATATCCTCAAGTCTTCAATGTCCATGTCCTCAAGTCTTCAATGTCCATGTCCTCATAGTCTCTTCAATGTCCATATCCTCAAGTGTTCAATGTCCATGTCTTCAATATCCATATCCTCAAGTCTTCAATATCCATATCCTCAAGTCTTCAATATCCATGTCCTCAAGTCTTCAATATCCATGTCCTCAAGTCTTCAATATCCATGTCTTCAAGTCTTCAATGTCCATGTCCTCAAGTCTTCAATATTCATATCCTCAAGTCTTCAATATCCATATCCCTAAGTCTTCAATATCCATATCCTCAAGTCTTCAATGTCCATATCCTCAAGTCTTCAATATCCATATCCTCAAGTCTTCAATATCCATGTCCTCAAGTCTTCAATATCCATATCCTCAAGTCTTCAATATCCATATCCCTCAGTCTTCAATATCCATATCCCCAAGTCTTCAATGTCCATATCCTCAAGTCTTCAATATCCATATCCTCAAGTCTTCAATATCCATGTCCTTAAGTCTTCAATATCCATGTCCTCAAGTCTTCAATATCCATATCCTCAAGTCTTCAATATCCATGTCCTCAAGTCTTCAATGTCAATATCCTCAAGTCTTCAATGTCCATATCCTCAAGTCTTCAATATCCATATCCTCAAGTCTTCAATATCCATGTCCTCAAGTCTTCAATCTCATTCATATCCTCAAGTCTTCAATATCCATGTCCTCAAGTGTTCAATGTCCATGTCCTCAAGTCTTCAATATCCATATCCTCAAGTCTTCAATAATCATATCCTCAAGTGTTCAATATCCATACCCCCAAGACTTCAATGTCCATGTATTATAGTCTCCAGTGTCAATATCCTCAAGTCTTCAATGTCCATATCCTCAAGTCTTCAATATCCATATCCTCAAGTCTTCAATATCCATGTCCTCAAGTCTTCAATATCCATATCCTCAAGTCTTCAATATCCATGTCCTCAAGTCTTCAATATCCATATCCTCAAGTCTTCAATGTCCATGTCCTCAAGTCTTCAATGTCCATGTCCTCAAGTCTTCAATATCCATGTCCTCAAGTCTTCAATATTCATATCCTCAAGTCTTCAATATCCATGTCCTCAGTCTTCAATATCCATGTCCTCAAGTCTTCAATGTCCATGTCCTCAAGTCTTCTTCAATATCCATATCCATATCCTCAAGTCTTCAATATCCATGTCCTCAAGTCTTCAATGTCCATGTCCTCAAGTCTTCAATGTCCATATCCTCAAGTCTTCAATATCCATATCCTCAAGTCTTCAATATCCATATCCCTCAGTCTTCAATATCCATGTCCTCAAGTCTTCAATATCCATGTCCTCAAGTCTTCAATATCCATGTCCTCAAGTCTTCAATATCCATGTCCTCAAGTCTTCAATGTCCATGTCCTCAAGTCTTCAATGTCCATGTCCTCAAGTCTTCAATGTCAATATCCTCAAGTCTTCAATATTCATATCCTCAAGTCTTCAATATCTATATCCTCAAGTATGTTTCAGGTTCATCCAGTCACAGGAATGGTCTTCGATTCTGCCTTACTAGGAAGCCTTATGACTGTAAGCACGCGTATGCTGAAATGTTTGTGTGTTTCTGTACACGCTTGTGGGTGTGCTTCGATCTGGACAAGTTTGTAAATGTGTCTGTATGTCTGTAAATGTGTTTTCGTCTAATTGCTTCGTTGCAGGGGTGCATGTAAATGTCTCTTTAAATGTTTTAAATGTTTGATGGCGTGTGCTCACAAGCGTAATAAAGTCCTTGATCACTCTCTCGCCCTCCGAAACAGGAGTCAGCTACATGTATATGATTTCAGGAATGTATCATGGATGTCCTTGACCACAAGAACATCAACATGGACGTCCCTGACTTCTGGGATACGGTCACGTGAGTTTCCCAGCCTGGTCTGTAGATATAGAGCTAGCACGGCTCTATTTAGTACAGTGATTTCTGACCAGTAGGTATTTGACCTGCCTCCATCAGACCTGTGTTTACGGGTAGCAAGTTGTCCCAACCGTGAACTACACTTAAGCAAATGGCATACCTTACACGTGTTATTTACATTAGTTATTCTAGTTATAATTCGCAGATCCTAATACCAACTATGTAAGGTAAACGCACCAACCTATTTTATTGTCATCATGACTGAGCTTGCATGGTACAGAGATATGTTGATTACCCTCAAATTATCTCAAAAACGTGTGTTATTCAACACTTAAGACCATTCTAGCTTTAAGGTCACAATGTGAGTTTCTAATATTTCATGCAAAATGTCTGGACATTATACTGATGCCATGTTCAGATATTATCAATTCATACTGATCCAATACCTATGCTGACATTGTGATTACATTTTCTAAGTAAAGAACATATTCTTGTACGTTTTCGTGCAAGTTCCATGTGGGATTTGGATCCACACTCTCAAAGTGAGGAAACTTGTCTCCAGCAAGTCAACGGTCAAACCCACAGTATGTGATATAGACTACAGCTGTCAGGCTTTCATTTGTTGAAGCGGCGGCTGTGTAGTGTAATCCCAAATACAACATAATTATGTTGCAACTGACTACTTTCTGAAAGTCATGCCTATAACATTTTGAATGGTCTGAGCTTTTCACAAGCGACCGATTACCATTTATCTAGAACTTTGATATTACATGAAATGTAGCAAATTGTGTCTTGGTTTAATTGCAGGACCACGGAGAACATCGTGATGTTCATCTGGAATCAACTGAAGAGAAAGATCCCCGCTGATCTCCTCTACGAAGTGCAGGTGCAGGCCAGCGAGAGAAACACAGTCTCGTACCGTGGGAGAACGAGGCTGCGCAGTCACAGTTAGAGTAGTCTCCCCTGCAGCTGAACACAATTTACTAAGACTCACGGTCACGTAATACTGTACCGTGTGGGGACGGAAATGCACACATGTACGCATAGTTGCACAAGTACACTATGCATCTGGGTGCCGTTGTACAAAGCAACCTTAGCGCTACGCTAGTTGTAAGTCTATGTTAAGGTATGGGAGTTACGGTCACCTTAGCGCTGAGATCGCTTTGTACAACGGCACCCTGATCAGGAGATCACCGGACACCTGCCTCGGGGAGAACGCGGTATATTCCACCCCAAGTCAAAATAATTGACGTTGTTCTAATATACTAAGTATGCCCTTTTAAAATGGAATAAAACACAATTGCTTTGTTGATTTGCTGTCTGTTTTTTCTCCTTTACTCTCTGAAGAAGGAACATATAGAGAATATTTCATGTGTCAAGTGAAATATGATGGAATATGATTAAATACGACTTTGGATTTTGGATGTCTTTGTTTAATAAATAGTGTACTTCAAAATAAGAATTTGGTGATTTTGACATTTCCAGGCAGTTTGTGTTGCTTGAAGATTGTGACTAGTGTGACTGAGACATTGGACGTATGTAGTCGAGCAGAAAGATGATCCGTTGCACCAGGCTGCTGCTTTGGCAAACGATTGTTCACCAACTCACAGGGTTAATTTTAGGCAGACAGGGTTTTCAGGCAGGAATTCACAGGTTCTAAACAAGGAAGGTATAGTTCAACCTCTCCTAGATTTCGTTCAAACATTCAAGTTCTGGTTCTGACTTTGTTGCCAAAAGGTCAAGTTCTACCCCGTGTGGTTCTAAATATACTTCCCTCGGAGCCTAATTGTTGATATTCCTGCACGCCAGGGTTTACGGGTGTGGAAAGCTCGCAGTCACAGCTTTGTCAATGTCACAGCTTTGTTTTTGTTTGGCTTGGAGGGGCTGGTACATCAGTCACCAGAGACTGTTGTGAGGGAGTAGTACTTGCCTTCCTAGTAAACGTTTTGTGTCAGCTACAACTGACAGTTTTTTAGACCTTGAAAACATTAAGCTGTCAATGTAAGTCTAAAACATGACAAAATTAGGGGACGAGGTATGTAAGGGAGAGTTGTCTTTAAGATACGTATAACATTGTTGGGCGCACACTGGACATGCGCTTTCCGTTAAGTTACAGTCTGTCCTGGTAAAGCTGGAACATTGCCGATCGTATTGTTAAACAAAATTATAGTTTATACAATATCGACTATAACAACAGTTATTTCAATTTTTAGTTCCTTAAAAAGCTTGGTATGCTCACTTTTGCATCTCGGTTTATATATTGTCAACGCGTGGATATATGCGTTGACTGGGGAATTTGCTCATAATTAAGATGAAGTGTACGTACAATACGTTGACAAGACGAAAGAATACGTTGAGCTCAAAGAGGTGAGTGGAGTACCTGCTCAACCCCAGGGCGTTTCCTACGAGCGGCATTATCCTGCTCGTCGTCGTCCCTACACAGAGAGTCGGAATACCACACTCGTACTCCTTCACCGTATAGATGTGAGCATACTAAGTATATATACAATTTTTTGACAACAATGGACAGGCGACGACTCGACAATGGACAATTAGAAAAACAATAGCACTTCCTTGACCAGTTGATGTGATGGCAGACACGGCCAAGGGCAATGACCAATAAGGGTTGTAAATGTCATATACAGTAATTAATTGTCAATGTACAATGCGGAAGTGATAAGGATTACATAGAATACAGATTAGCGTCATATAAATAATTACAATAAAGTCTCACATGTCTTGACTACATAGTTTTTTACTTTTTAAATATGTGGACGATGGCTGACCTGAATTAGTCACTATAACAATATTAAGGGGTGGGGGTAGTGTGAGTGAAAGGTGTTTATGGTGTGACATATATATGCACAGGTGACATATATGTACAATTTTTACACATTAAAATTAAAAAGATAGAGGACCTCGCCAGGAGTGGAGTATATGGAATTTTGATATATGGCGGTGTGAAAATGTAAATGACAGACGTGTGTATAATACTTTCGATAACGATAACATTATCTGTGAAAAACACGCCTATAGATTCTGGGGGAAAATTCACAGAACACAGATCTGATTTTTAACCTTTGGACAGCCATATTGAAAATTCCCTCTCTGATCGTCTGCTGCTGAAGTACTCTCAATAGCCAGGTCGAGATGTACTTGGCAGGAAGCCAGTTCTGTGTAAGTTACTAAACTACCGGGCAAACGACAGTAGACTACTTGAAAACTAGACTTGACCAAAAACTTTCAAACTGCATCGAAGTCGAGTAAATATCTTGTTCATTTCATTTCTGGCCACATCAACTCATGGATATAATTTTGCTTTGTCTGGTTGTATTTTGTGCATATCTTATTGCATATTGTTAAATAATGTATATATGCAGGCACAATTTATTCATATAATTTAAGTCACGGGGGTCGTTGCCAAAAGAGGTTTCGTGCTACTGCTACTATAACTAGTTATATCTATTCTAGGTAATGGAAATTATAGCTGAAATATTGCTAAGTGCAGCGTTAAACCCCAATCAATGATTTGAAATAGTATCCACAGTCATTGTAGGTCGCTTCCATCAGCTAGTTAATTAACACTGCTTCGGATTCGGAACACACAACTATTTCAGCACAGACAGATATAATCACCTAAAGTTCTAATCGGAATTCGGAGAGGGAAGGTATCGGCCAAAGCACCACAGTCTGCCGTAAGAGTTCCCTCCCTTAGCAGCCTCCGATTCCGATTCATCAGGATTCTGATTATTTTGTAACTATCATCCTATAGTCTCCGGCTATCGACGTTGCATCAAGTGTCAATTCCAGTCTTCATTCATTTTGCAACTGATAAAATCAGGGATTTAAAAAAAAATAATCCTGTACTCACGTCTTGAATTGCAATAATTAATTCTGTGCGTATACTTGGCTAGAATTATATTCCTCACTTTTGAAGGTGGATTGACAGTTTCCCTCAATAAATAGCCATTTCTAATGCACGCCTTTTGTTGTCAGGTAGGTACTAAAATGTTATTAGGGTCATGTACACCCAACACAACTGAAATTGAAGCTTGGGTCAAATCCATGTATTTGACTTGCACAAATACTTTCAGATGATTAACGAGGAGAACCCTAAAATATAACGTCAACATCTTAAAAATGAAGCACTCGTAAAAGAACCATGGTTGACATAAAGTAGCTTACAGTCTCCATATAGTGGTTGCAGCACACGTGTCAAAGATTTTGTTCAGCCTAAAGTCTCAAGCAGAGTTTAGATACACAAGGAATTCCCAAGGAATGGAGCATCGTTACATGCAATGTGTGTGTTTACCATTACACGCCAATACGCTAAAAGGTGTTGGCTATCTGATTCACGAAGGTTTACTTAATACCAATGTCGGTGGCAGTAAAACATACAATGTTAACACACACTTTCTCAGATGATTACATTTACTTTAACAATGAAGGCGTTTTTAGGATGGAAGAATGGTGCAAATAAATATTCTCACATTCAGACGAAACAGATGAATTCTCGCAAGCCCTTCGCCACAGGCCATATTGAATGCAAGCTAAACGACTAGAACGTTCACAGAAATACAACGGGTAGAACATGAAACAGACGCGAAAACTTATCATCAGAGTTGCACTTGTTGAGATTCTAAAGTATTCACATCAACAATCGATTTTTAAATTCCCATGTGAATGCCAGAATACACATATACTAACAGTTAATTAAACGGGGGTGGATTGCGGGTCAACCGAAGTGTGACATAACTCACAGGCTTACACAGGTCAACTGAAGTGTGACGTCAATCACATAGTCTAACAGGCTTACACAGGTCAGCGGAAGTGTGACAGTAGTCACAGGCTTACACAGGTCAACCGAAGTGTGACAGTACTCACAGGCTTACACAGGTCAACCGAAGAGTGACAGTACTCACAGGCTTACACACGGAAGTGTGACAGTAGTCACAGGCTTACACAGGTCAACCGAAGTGTGACAGTACTCACAGGCTTACACAGGTCAACCGAAGTGTGACAGTACTCACAGGCTTACACAGGTCAACCGAAGTGTGACAGTACTCACAGGCTTACACAGGTCAACTGAAGTGTGACAGTACTCACAGGCTTACACAGGTCAACTGAAGTGTGACAGTACTCACAGGCTTACACAGGTCAACTGAAGTGTGACGTCAATCACATAGTCTAACAGGCTTACACAGGTCAGCGGAAGTGTGACAGTACTCACAGGCTTACACAGGTCAACCGAAGTGTGACAGTACTCACAGGCTTACACAGGTCAACCGAAGTGTGACAGTACTCACAGGCTTACACAGGTCAACTGAAGTGTGACGTCAATCACATAGTCTAACAGGCTTACACAGGTCAGCTGAACGCCCGTTCTCACTAATGAGGTGCAAATGGGTAAGCGTCGTAAGTCAAAAATCAACTACACAAAATCTATGCAAAAACATTTTATTTAGACAGTTTGGTATATGGTCTATTACATATCACTTTTTCAGCCACACCATTTTACAAATAACCATACAGCTGTTATCTAAATGTGGCACCTTGAATTATAAAATATTATCACCTGATACGTACGTGACTAGTTTTTCTGACTAGAGAATTAAGTGACAATGTGATAAATTATTTGAGTAACCTATCAAATATTCCGCATGAGTTTGGCGACACACATGTCTGCTCAAAGACTTTAGAAGTACTTTGACATACACATTGTAAATCATTATTACTCAGATTGTTTTTTAAAAAATACCAACAAATTGCAAAAACATTCTAAAATCAAACCTGATAACTAGATTAGCCGACAATCTGAGGGCGTAGTAGACTAAAAAATGAGTAGCAAAATATTTGATCGATAGCCAGTTGCAACAACATAAAACTCATGAAAATTACCAGTCACTTTTTGCAGTACGAACAGTAACGTATGTAGCCCAACTTTCAATTGTTTCAAATAAGATTTTTATTATGAAGAATAATACTTTTTCTTACCTAAAACATCGATTAAAACACATCAGTATCATTTTCTTCAGGATTACAAGATTCTATCGTTTCTTCCTTTACAGTTGTTAGTACTACATAAAGACAATATCAGGGTGATCAATATTAATCATCATAAATTTGTTTTCCACAAAAGGAACATAACAAGACTGTATCCTCGATCGTTCTTTCTCAAGGAAGGCAGGTCCTTTTGCTTTCCGAATTTACCGATATTCTGTCTGATTTTCTGCTCTACGTTTTCCCACTTGAAATAAGTCCAAAAACAAATGAGTAACGTATGTATAATATATTTCGATACATACGTTACCC